ACGTTAAGGTATAATAAAATAAAATGTTATATCTATATATTATGGTATATACTATGGTCCATAGAAATTGACCGAAACAAAAATAATATCATCGAGAAAAATTAATGTTTAATAAGATTTAAATTTTCGATGAACCCTATAATATAATATATACTATATATTGAGCATAACAAGGTAGGTGCCTATACTTCCTCCTAAATATTATTTTTAATATAAATATCATTATCTAACATTATTAAACTGAAGTTAATATAAATAGGTATATATTATAGCACTAATTTTGTATGGGAAGAGGGTATAATCATAATAAAATAAAAAACGAGGAACTGAGAGAGGTATACTCTATATGTATACAATTACTATAAATGTTTAGTATGATACCTACCTAAATTTAAATATAGTGTCTACCGCGTACCTATCTACGTCATTGTGTATAATTAAAATCACAGTAATATYGACCTGTTCAATTTAAATTCAATAATAAATAGTTACTGAAGTAGGTACCTAGTTCCTGAGCGCAAGTGAATAACTGAAATTAATTACCATTTGGCAATAGGTACTTGGCAGTTTATTTTTCCATTGGTTCTACAATAAAGATTGAACAAAATATTTCCAAAATCATCGTATATATATATGGGTATTAGGTAGGTCGTGGGTATCTAATATTGTGATAATTAGGGCTGTAGTGCATTTATATGTAAAATTGCATAATATRCTCATTAACTTATTGAAAACGTAAAGTATCATGATAAAGTATGAATTAGGTATCTACTACCAGAACTACCTACCTAAATACCTACCAACATTACAATCGAATTCAATTTCCAAACTTTTATTTTGCATTTTTGATATTTTATATAATTTTTAATGATTTATTGTAATCCGTCATTTAAATATTTTTACACACATGTTATAAATATTATTTTAACTTTCGTCTTATAAATTGTTTTTAACTGATCATAATAATTAAGAATGTAGCTTTTTATTTTCAATTGATTTTTAAATTTTTGATTTTGTAGTGCTTT